TCCCCTTTGGAGAGAGGAAGAAACTCCAGGAAAACCGGGAATATTTCGCCGGAAGTTCCATGGTTTTTTTTTTTTTAGAGCAAAGCACCAAAAAATCCCGGAGTTCGTTGTGCCTGAGTAAAAGTTGTCCCGAGTTTTTGGGAAAAGAGGAATGAAGAATGACTTGGGTGGATGAGGGGAGCGACCTGTGCCAGTGGAATTCCTGGAATTCCTCCTGTCACCCCCAAGGATGTGATTCCCGATGTCCAGAGGGAATCCAAGCGAAACCGCTTTGGTCCTGGTGCCGGGCAGAGAAGCTCCCGAGGGTCCCTTCAGGGATTTATGGATATTGAGGAGATTCCCCTTCTCCAGGATGGACAATCCCAGCTCTTCCAGCCTCTCCTGCTCCAATCCCTTCATCCAATCCCTTCATCCCTTCACTGCTCTTCCTTGGATTCTCTTCCTCTCTCCCGGACTGGGGAGCTCAAACCGGGCCCAGAACTCCAGGTGGGACTTATCCAAGTGGAAGGATTCCATAGGGATGGAAAGCCAGGAAGATCCTCAACCGCGTGGCCCGAGCCACCGGGGTGGATCCGAAGCCGGGTGGAAAAATTCCTGCACTAAACAGGGAAAAGAAAAAAAAGAGCAGGGAGAGAGGGGTTAAAGCTGCAAATCCGGGATTCCTGGAAGTGTCCCACGAGGTTTTGGGTGTCCCGCTGCTGGAATTCCATGTCCATGAATCCCCCAGTTCATGAGTTTATTAAACTTCATGGAATATCAATTCCCACCGAATCCCGAAACCTTCCTGGACTCAGGGCAGGAAATCTGAAAGTGCTTTTTTTTTTTTGTTTTTTTTTTTCCCATTTCTGCCCTTGGAATTCTATTGTTTGGCACCGAACTTGGAAGTGGATGTGGAAAAAAAACGGGATGGGAAGCGCTTAAGAGTCAAGTGGAAACCCCGAATCCCGCACGGAGTTTGCCGAAGGGAGGGAGCGGCAGTTGCTCCATCCTTCTCCCAGTTTTCTTCTTCCAGGAATATCTGGTTTTAAGGGATATTTTCAACTCGAGACACCCAGGGGATGGCAGGAAAAAAGTGCTGGATTAGGGAAGTGCAGATAATCGAGGGATTTAGAGGGAAAACTCCTCCTCCTGATCCATCTCAACTGGCTCCCACCCGGTTTTCCCACTCCCCCAAATCCAGGCGAGGATGTTTTCAGGGAAGGGGAGGCTGCGGATTCCTTGTGCTCCCTGAAAACCTGAGGATGAATCCCGGTGCTTTGGTTGCTGCTGGTCCTCGGCTTCGGAGGGACGGGAGAAAAGGAGGGTGGGAAGGGAAAAGGGCGGGATGGGAACGTGCGGAACGAGACGGGATCCGGGCGTCAATAATTCCAAAGTCCAGCTGTGCCCACGGGATAAAGCCGGGATTTCCCAACCCCACGGATAGCGGGATACCAGGAGAGGTAAGAAGAGGCTCCGAAGTGCAGCTTGTTGCGTCCAGACTCGGCCGTTCCCGAGGGGCCGGGAAGCGATCCCAGATTCCCGAGGCCGCTCCAGGTCACTTGTACAGGGCCATTTTCCGGCTCTGGAACAGGTACATGTAGGCGTCACAGAAGAGCCTTTTGGCCACTCCATCCATATCCCGGGGCTGCTCCAGGGCCAGCCCGGCCAAGGGCAATTCCAGGTATTTGGCGACCTCCGGGCACAGCGTCACCGCAGGAATGTTGAAGCCGCTTTCGCCACCTACGGCAGGGAAAAGGAGGAAAAGCCCGGCTCAGATCCCGAGGGATGAGCTCCTGCAGCTCCAGGAGATCCCGTCACGCTCGACAGCGGAGACACCTGGAGGCCAAAAGCGCTGGGAGAGGTTGGATGAGGGGAGAACATCCACATTCCGGAGCCTAAAGGGGCTCCAGGAGAGCTGGAGAGGGAATTGGGATGAGGGATGGGGGGACAGGACACAGGGAATGGTTTCCCACTGCCAGAGGGTTAGATGGGATACTGGGAAGGAATTCTTTCCTGGGAGGGTGGGAAGGGGCTGGAATGGAATTCCTAGAGAAGTTGTGGCTGTTCCATCCCTGGAAGTGTCCAAGGCCGGGTTGGAGCAACCTGGGATAGTGGGAGGAGTCCCTGCCCATGGAAATGGGGGTTGGAATTCCTTGACCTTCAAAATTCCCTTCCAACCCAAACCGTTCCATGATTCCAAGATAAGGAGAGGAGAATAATCCACGCTCAGGTGGGACTGGGTTTAAATCCCTGCGTTTGAATGTATCCAGAGGATGGAAGCTCCTGGAAGAACTCCCACCTTGGTCTGGCCACGGATGGAATCTCCTGGGAGAACTCCTTGGCTTGGCCACACTTTTCTCGGGAGTCTAATTCAATGGGAGCAAGATCCAGAGAGAGACTAAACTGGACAGGGAATTTCAGAGGGAAAAGGTGGACTTGTCTGAACGTATCCAGAGGATGGAAGCTCCTGGAAGAAATCCCACCATGGCTTGGCCATGGATGGAAGCACCTGGAAGAACTCCCACCATGGCCTGGCCATGGATGGAAGAACCTGGAAGAACTCCCACCACGGCTTGGCCCTGTTTTTTTCTGGAGTCTAATTCAATGGAATCAAGATCCAGAGAGACTAAACAGAACATGGAATTTCAGAGGGAAAAGATGGACTTGTTTGAATGTATCCAGAGATGGAAGCAC